AGCGTGCGCTTGGGCACTATTAAAATTCCTATTTCACAGATGAGGAAACTGAGGCTCAGGACGTGCATTACTTGAGTGAGGTGAGAGAAAGCTTTGTGCTAAAGCCTGGGTTTGATCCAGGGACTCTGACTCCCTGCCTTCTCTCTGCTATACACCTCCCTAAAATAGCTTTCATTTTCTGGAGCACGTGCTATTTTCCAGGAACTGTGCCGAGCACTTTTCATCCATTTATCTCCTTGAATCCTGCCTCCTTCTCATCATAATCTTACCTTAAACGTCACCTCCTTGAGATGTCTTCTGAGGCTTTCCCATCCCATCACTCACTCTGGCTTGCTTAGCTCCTCCGTGATACTTAGATGATGAGAAACCCATTCTCCTGCTTTACCTGTACACGCTCCACCTCCCTGTTGCAGAACTGAAGCTTCCTGAGGGCTGGGACCTTGTTGGTCCAGCCCATTGTGTCCCTGACACCTCTGTGCCTGGCACACAGTCTGCACAAAAGTATTTGTTAAATAAATGAGAGGGACCTCCCTGGTGGCGCAGTGGTTAAGAATCCGCCTGCCAATGCAGGGGACACAGGTTCGCTCCCTGGTCTGGGGAGATCCCACATGCTGTGGAGCAACTAAGCCCGTGCACCACAACTACTGAGCCCGCGTGCCACAACTACTGAAGCCTGTGCACGTAGAGCCCGTGCTCTGCAACAAGAGAAGCCACCGCAATGAGAAGGCTGTGTGCAGCAACGAAGACGGAACACAGCCAAAAATAAATAAATAAACAAGAGAGTTTATGTTAATAAATAAATAAATAAATAAATAAATAAATAAATGGGAGCCCTGGCAACAACTCTAGAGAGTATATGCCGTTACCAGCTGCACTTTACAAAGAAGGAAACCGAGGCCCAGACAGGAAACAACTGGCACAGAGTCCGTGGGTGATGGAGCAAGGATTCAAACCCAAGCAGGAAGACTCCAGAACCTTCTGTGATGAGTCCTCACGGCCCCTCCCACCTACACATTTGGACATGTGGACTCTCTTGGTCTTTATCGTGCAGAAGAGGGAGGGACTGTGGTTGTCCCAGGCCCCAATACCAACCTTCTGAGTCAGTGGGCCGGACTGGGAGGGAAGGCCTTTTTTTGTTTTCCCTCTTTTCTCCGGGAGAGTGCAGAGGTTTGGACCCCTGTTGAGGCCAGGCTGACGGGATTAGAGGAAACAGCTGGCCCAAGCCCGTGCCCTGCGGGAGGGAGCTCACATTCCCAGGACTCGGGGAGGGAGCAGCTCCCCGTAGCCCAGTCACATTCCAGGTCGGTCATTTTCCTGAGCCCAGATGTTTGCTAATGAGCTGGGGAGAGAGCTTTCAGCCCTCTACCCCAGCTCTGGGCCCCACATTACCTCGGCCCCAAGAGGCTGGCCCAGGGCCAGCAGGCTCTGGCTTCAAGCCCGTGCCCAGGGCCAGCCAGGCCTGTTGGGGCAACTGGCGCACCGCTGCCAACCAGGTGCATCTCCGTGTGCTTGGAGACTCTGACGTGACAGGTTCTGCCTTTCCTGCTGGGGCCCCACCACCCTGGGTCCTGGTGGTGCAGCATCCTTGCTGCAGTCTGATGGAGGGGCTCTGAGGCAGTCAAGAGGGTGTGGTGGGCAAAGGAGCATGGGCTTTGGAGTTGATGGGTCTGGATTCAAGTCTGGACTCTGTCCATCACTAGTGGTGTGATCTTGGGCAGGTAACTAGGCTTCTGATGCCTTGATTTTTCTCATCTGTAAAATGGGAATAATGATAGGATTATGGTCAGGTTTCCATACAATAAAGCAGGCACAGTGCTTAGTATAATGCCTGGCACAAAGTGATAGCTGTTGATAGTATTAACAAGTTACCTTCCAGACCCCTTGTTCACATGGTAGCCCTCTTGTAATTACCAGTCTTCAGACAGGTGTGACCCAATCCCAAACCCCATGTCTTTGATTAGGTGGCTGGGTGGCTGAACTGTCAAAGGGCTTCTACTTCAGGCTGTCTGTATGACTTGACAAACTCATTAGGCTACCCAATGGCTTCTTGCAGTGGGGTGCGTTCTTACAAAATGTAGACATCCAGTCCCCACCCCACCTGGGATGCACATTGAGAGTGGCAGTGGTGAGCACAATGGTCAGTGTTTCCTGAGTGCCTACTGTGTACCAGGCAGTGAGGCTACACCTGGTGGGATGTGTTCCTCCAACAGACGGTAGCTGGCATCCCCTTTACTGTGTGACTTTAGGCCAGTTACTTAACCTCTCTCTCTTGGTCTTGGTACTTTCACTTATGAAATGGGGATAACAATACTGTTTATTTCACAGATTTATTGTGTGGGTGGAAAGTGCTTAGAATGGGACCAGGCACGTAGTATAGGAAGGTGCTCAATATGCCTGAGCTATTACGAGCATTATTACAGTTATGGAAACATTTATGGGGGATATTAATTACTTAATTCAGCCAAATATATTGTACCCCTTGTTTGCCAAGCCCTGGGGACACTGACACAGGTGATCCCTGCCCTCAAGGAGCCCACAGTCAAGTGGAGGAAAAAGATCTACTCAACTAGTCTAGAAGGAAATTACCATGAACAGAGGGTATGTATCTTGTGCTTCCAGGATCACACCGGAGAAGGGAGGGGTTTATGCTACTTGGGTCTCGGGAAGGCTTTCCAATCTGGTGCTTGAAGAATGCCTTTAAGGAGATGAAAGGAGGGGAAGGGAACCCCAGGCAGAGGGAACAGCACAAGCAAGAGCTAGGAGGCATAGAGACGCAGTACTGGGTTTGGAGAGGCAGACAGGTCAGCGTACACCATGGAATTATCAACAGGCCACTAGGAGCCACCGGGATGCTCAGCAACCTGTGACATTGGATGAGCAGGGCTGCTTCCATCTGGGGGCTTCCAGCTAGGCTGGGGTGAGATGCATGGACACCCACCACTGTGGTAGAACGCAAAATTCCTAAATCTTGTCTCAGGACCGGGCTACTACTTTCCAGGAGCAAAGCTATTTTCTCACTTCACTGGCACACCAAACAGAGAGGGCACGACCGAAACCCGCCCGAGTGCCCGAGTACAGGCTGATAAGCTGGGTACCCCCGTACCCAACAGCTGAGGCTGGGACGCCGCGCTGGGCACTCTGCTCTTCCCAGGAGTCAGAGAAGTGAGTCCAGTTTCCGACGTTCCGAATAGTCCTTCTCGGGACTCTCAGACCCTTCTGTGCACACTTAAGCCAAGTGCCTGGCGCCGAGGCGAGGCCGGGCGTTGGTCGAGTGACACTAGGGAACTAAGAGCGCGGACCAGCCCTGGGTCGCACGGCCGGGAGCGGATAGGTTGGGCGCACCGCAGGACTGAGGGAGGACAGTCTCCTGGTGCCGCGGCTCGGAGGGCTGGGGCGCCACACCCTCGGAGCAAGACTGGAGCACCCGGTTCCCACAAAAAGGAACACTTCCATCTTTGTCACCCGGAGGCCTGGCACGGCCCGATGGCCGGGCTGGGGGAAAGTTGGGAGAGAAGTCCGAGCGCAGAGAAATCCGGCGGAGGGCGCTTTAGAACGAGCCGGGGCGCCGGGCTCTCTGCCCTGCCCCTAGGTCGCCGGTCAGGGCGGCCCCGGTAGCTCCGCCGCGCCGTCGGACCGCGCCGGAGCCCGGCCCGGGGCTCGAGGGCGACGGGGAGAAGGGGCCGGGGCCCCGGGCGGCTGAGGCGCCCCCTCCTGCGCACCCGGAGGGAGCGGCCCAGCGCGCCCGCCCGCTCTTTCTTTTTCGCGTCCCTCCCTCCACTGCCCCCGCCCTCGCTCCCTATTTGGAGCGGAGACACCCCTGACGTCGGAGCCGCTGGGCTCGCCGCTCCCCCGCACCGCGCGCCCGCCCGGGGCCGCAGACAGCGCGCAGCGCAGCCCAGCCGAGCCTCGCGGGGCCGCCGCCAGCCCTGCCGGCCGCCTCTCCGAGCCTCCCGGGGGCGCCGAGCCTGCCCCCCGCGGCCCGCAGACAGCTCCGCAGGAACCGGCGGGCGCGCCGCGCTTCCCACCGCCGCCGCGCGCGCGGTAAGTCCCGCCCGGGCCGGCACGCGGGCGCCCAGCTTCCAGAGGCTTCGGCCGCAGGCGCAGCGCCGCGCCCCCGGCCCGCCCGCCAGCCCAGGGCACCGTGCGGAGGCGCCGCCGCCGAGCCCGGGAGCGCTGGGGGCTCGGGGCGCCGGGTCTGGGGACGTGGGCGCGGCACGGGGTGGCCAGGGAGCACCCCTGCGCCCCGAGCCGGTTCCCCGACTCAACGGGGGTTTCCATTTCTCGGTAGGAGTTCCGCGGCCAAGAGAGAAAGGGAGGGAGATGCGCGGCCGAGAGAAAGCCCGGCGGGTCGAGGGCGGGTCTGGCCGCGCGGCCGCCGGGGCAGCGCCCGGAGCTCGGCCGCGGGGCTCGCGCGTCCCCGCTGCTCTGTCCGGGCCTCGCCGCGCCGCGAGCCTCTCCACTCCCGTACGTTCCTGCCTCCTTTTTGTCTCTCTCTGTGTTTCTGTCTCCCCATCTGCGTGTCTCCGTCTATTTCCGTTCCTCTCTTTCTCTGGTTCTGGCCCCTTTCTTTCTGTTTCTCCGCTTCTGCCTGTTTTCCATTTCCCTGGGTTTGTGCCTCTGCCTTTATGTTTTCTCTCCGTCTCTCCGCCTGCCCCGCTGTGAGAGTCTCTCTCTGAGTTCCTGCGTCTTCCTGGTCCCCCGCCCTCAAATTCGGACAGCGCCCCCAGCCCGGGTCGCAGGCACGGGGCCCCCACCGGGGCTCGTGAATAGTTTCCTAGACCTGGTAAAAGAAGCGAAACCCTCCTCCTACCTTCCGCCTGCCCCGGGGGACTGGCCTGGGTCATCCCCCTGGAGTTGAGTCTGGGGCAGGGGAGCCAGCCTTTCCGGGGGCTCAGTTTTCTTAAGAGTTCCACCCCCGCGAGGCGGCCTGGACAACTGGGCCGTGCTGCCGGCCACCTGCCCGCCCCGCTCCCTGGGCGGGGCGATTCTGATCTTTTACACGCCGCAGTAAAGGGGGCAGCTGGCCGCCTTGGTGTGGCCAGGGGGTTGGCCGGCACCCGGGGAGAAGGGCACATTTGCAGGCTTTCCGAGGTCCTCGCCCAGCTGGAGGACACCAGCCTGTAGCTACGGGAACCCCAGGAAAACAGAGGTCAGGGCCGGAGGTCAAAGGCTGGGCGCTGACGGGGGATGGGGGTGGGGGTGGGGAAGCAATTTGTCAACAAGGAGCCCCTCACCCTTTGTTACTGTGGAAACCACCAGCCTCCTGAAACTCCTCCAGTTGCTGGGGCCGCTTGGGTGTGGTTTGCCTTTGGTTGGGGCCAAAGAAAAGGCGAGGCTGGAGCATTTCGTCGGTGACCCCCCCCATCCCCACCCTTGTGAGCTGGACCTCTTTCTCTTGGGCCTGTGTGCTAGAAGGTGGACCCAGGAGAATGTGCTGTGCATTAGCCGCATATATCTTCATCCTTTTAGAGCGAAATTTCCAACTGAGTTCTCTCCTCCCCACCCCCACCCCCAAGGGTCGCAGACTGCGGGAGCGGGCAGGGATGCTGGTGAAGTCTGCAGTGGGACTTCTGCTGAGCAGATGTGTAGGCCGGCCCTGCAGCAGCTCATTAGCATCGATTTGTTTTGGAGACAGTTTTCAGTCAGGAGGGTCTGCGGGCAGGCTGGCCGTGGTCTGGGCTGGGGGGCTGTAGCCAGGGAGATGGAGCTGCTTGGCAGAGATGGGCAGGCCTTTGGGGCACGGGCTTGGCCCTGCGTGTCCGCCCCTGGACCGTTGGTTCATGCTCTGCCAGCGCTGACGGAAGGAAGGAAGCCACCCTGTGGTGACTGGGGTCATGGAATCACAGTGGCCTTAAGCAGCGCGCTGGAGCCAGGCTCCTCTTGAGGGAATCTGCTAGGATGGACTTTCCCAGGCCGTGCTTCCCATTTCACAGGGGCAAATGGGAGGCCTGGGCAGGTGAAACGAGTGGTCAGTGGCCTCTGAACACTGTACTGTCCTGCCTCCAGGCACACAGGGAGTCAGCGGGTGAGCTTGGGCCTGAACTTGTCCTTGGACCCCAGAGTGGGCCCGCTGAGCTGATCAGGGCTGGGGTCTGACCCTGGCTCGCCCCTCCCTTCAGTTGCACCATTCAAGGAAGTCCCCTTGCGCTCATTTCAAGACCTGCGGCGGTTGACTCACTCCTGCTGACCCCCAAGCCTAGGGCTGCGGCCACAGATGCCACACCCTCTGCACCCAGCAGCATGTACGCCCCGGCAGCCAGGCCCAGCCTGTTTGCTCAAAGTTGCTGGTCTCTCTGGGACCCTTTCCCTTCAGTCAGTGGCCCAAGAATTAGAGTCTGAGTGGGATCTTCCTCTCCGCTTCCACCCTGGCAGCACAGACAGTTCATAAAACCCTCGCCCAGCCATCATCTTGTTTGAGTTTCCCCTAAACCCATTTTCTTCGAGGCAGATGCAACCCCGGGGTTTAGATATTCTCAGGACGCATTCAGGATCCAGTGGGAGGGAGGGGG